CCGCACCGGGAGCTATAGCTCTAGCTGTAGAGATCGCTCGAGCTGAAAGCACTGCAGGCGGATCAGAAAGAATTCCTCATGCGTGCACAGACATGACAGGCATCCCGGGCTATATATTCGGAACAAAGAGGAGCCAAACTCAAGGCATCCTTAGTATATATAGGAGCCCACTGCAGGCATCCTAGCTATATAGGGGCCCACTGCCGGCAACCTGGTATATATATCTGCTGACACAAAGGAGCCCATGGCATCCTTATAGGAGCCCACTGCAGGCATCCTAGTCCTTAGGAGCCCACTGCAGGCATCCTGTTATCTGCTGACTTCTGTAGAGGAGCCCAGACTGCAGGCATCCTAAAAACTCTGTAGGAGCCCATGCATGCACTCCCAGGCATGTATACAGGAGCCACTGCGAGCATCCTAGAGCTGACACCCTGTATAAACCCGAATACCCTAAACCCTGAACCCTGATGCAGAAGCAGTCGTATTCGATCCTCAAAGTGCAGATCTCACATCCGGCTGTAGTCGACATGCAATGCCATGACATACTTTTGCATGGCCTTCTGTACGGTGGCTACAGGATTCCTCGACCGGGTGCAGACACTCACCATTCGGCGAACGATTTGCATTAGGTCTTCTTGCCCATAGCAGGCACCGACCCTTGGACTTAAGAAATGACTTTCCAAGAGTCCGTGGCACAGCCAGTGAGCCTTAAAGGTCACGTTGAAGGCCATGTCTCCCTGTAACAAAAACCGCTTCATGAGACGACCCATCAAGCCGAAGTATTCGAAACCAAGAACACAAAGCCGGATGGAATCTTGGTAAAGGAGCACGGCTTGGGTGGGATCCTGATCTAGCAGGTCGTCCATATCCGCTGCTCGCTGCAAGAGAAGCAGCACTTCAGCATCCTCTTGTGAGTGTGGAGACATATAGTGCAACCTCCACACCTCCAGCAATGGCCTCAGGCAGTGTTTAACCTCGGCGGCCTTGGCCTTCATGGCAGGGAAAGCCAAGAATGGCTGCTGCGAGTTCGCGACGAACATAGACCTCAGTCAGTCTTGCAGACGAAGACAGCTTATGAAGAACTCGTGCAGTGCATGCAAGGCATCCAGCTTTGTCGGTTAGCTGCCAGGTCCCCGCTGCAGCTGGAGTGCCAGTGTCGGCTAGACTAGAACTCTCGCAGAAGTCGGACAGCTATGCGAAAGCAGAGCTCTAAGATAATTAACAGGATGCAGAGATCCTGGCAGCCGCTCACTGCTGCTTTGACACCAGACCACGGCACATGGACATGCTCTCCTGGAGCTCGGAGACTGCCGCTGCCGCCTGCATGCAGGGGCACACAGAAATTGATATGGGACAGGAGTGGACTAAAAATTCAGCCGGCCTCCCGAAGCAAGTTGCTGACGACCAAGCTGTTCACGGGGTTTTTGCGGTGCGTGTTAAACACTGCCACCTCGTGAAGCTCACTGATCTTGCTCAGGACCGTTTGCAAGTTCCTTTGAAGCATGCTCCTGGACGTAGCTGCCGTCGGCGTGGTCGACGTTATTCCCA